AGAGTTAATTTATCCTGCAATGAGAATATCCAACAGTTTAGTGCCAGGATTCTACCATCCACCCAAGCGGCAGTTCAGGAATTGATGCTTCAGCAGAGCATACCGTTCACACACTGCACCAGTCACAACAACTCGTGTGCCACTGAGTCCAACTGGGCCACCCCAAAGTATCAACCCCTGGGGACCCCATTTGAAAGCGAGCAGACTGACTGGCAGATCTATCCTCCACATTCATCCAGCTCAAACGATCAGCTGCTTGAAATCCCATCCACCAGAAATAACTCAGTTAAAAAATAAAGATGGGGCAGATCAGTAGGTAAGGCAGCAGGCAGGTACTGACGCAAGAAGGGCTCACCACTTGGCTCCCAAATACAATTTTTTGTGGGACCGTACAGTCTGTCTCCACCCTGCCCTTCACCCAAACCTCTGAGCATTTAGCCTGCTTTAGAGCCTCCATTTCCATAAAACCTATCATAACATCCCCATTGTAAGCTATAAAATTATATTATGGTACAGTTTAGAAACTACCTTTTCCTAGCTAGATGCTACTGATTTCAACAGAGAGCAGACTTACCCATTTTCTTGGTTTTTCTCCTGTACTTCCAGCTTCCCTCCACTTCAGAAGGTTTTCCTTAGGCTTGGTGGCAAGTTTGGATTTGGCTTAGGAGACACAGCTTGTTTAGATCAAGATGACTCTTCCTTCTTGTTAGGGCTGCACTAGGCACAACAGAATTCCCAGCAACTTTGTAAGTTTTGTTGTTTGGGTTTTGTTTTGTTTTTTTAAAATCACCAAGCCACAGTTCCCACTTGAAAGACGAAATTTTTATAAGATCAGTGACATTAAGCTTCTTCTCCTGAACTGCTGCTTAGAGGTTACAAAGAGGAAAAAAACCCAATCCTGCACATACACACTTCTACCATATCCCTTAGGTATATTCCAACTCTTTGAAATGAAGCAATTTAAAAACTAGACATAGTCACTATTTAATCTTCAATCTCATTTCCCTGACAGTCACAGTATGACAGTCATTCTTCTTCAGTTACATCCCATGATATGCCCCCCCTTTGAAAAGAAAACAAAGTCAAGTCTGAAATTCATAAAAGCCAAGGTGTATGATCACAAAGGTGGAAAGCAGCACAATGATAAAATGTATCTGTGATTGAATAACTGAAATTCATAAAAGCCAAGGTGTATGATCTCAAAGGTGGAAAGCAGCACAATGGTAAAATGTATCTGTGATTGAATAATGTAAGAATTCTGGGGTTTTTAAAAAATTTATTTAAAATCAGTGACTTGGACACCTATGGAAACATCATTCTTCTTTCTGCTTATTCCCAATTCAAAAAAAGAGCTCAGCAGAGCCTTTCTTAGAAAACACAACTTTTCCATATTGGTTCACGCTCTGCTTGAACCATATCTTGCAGGATATAAAGTATGGTAATGAGGCTGCGTTTGCTTTTATGGCTAAATATGACAATATGCCATTCTGCCTAAGGAAAAAGCAGCTGAACGTACAAAAAAAAAATATACTTCATTTCTTTGGAAAAAGTATCACAAAATTTTTCTCCCAAGTAAGCAAGACAAAATTTGGTAGGAAGTTTTGTTCTTGACCAACAACTAACTAAATTTCATTTTAGAAGCTGAGACAAGATGGAAGGGGGCCAGAGATGGAAACATTTCTGTAGGTATTTTCTTTCCCTCCCCCTGAACCTGTATTGCAGAGTACTAGGCACCCAGAAAGAAAGAAAATCAGAGAAGCCTCTACCTGTCCTTCCAACTTTCCCTAGAAGACAAAGTTTCAAGCTCCAAGTAGCCATGACTGCAGATAAGAATAAACGCTTGAGCCTGAAGCACTGTCTAAGCATCGGCACATCCCTTCAAGGGTCAGATCCCACAGATCTTCCTTTGAAGTGAAGCGCTTCAAGGCAACACTCCCGCATCCATTTGATGGTTTGACCCTGTGCTCAGATCTCGCCTCCAGCATGAAAGACTTCAAGGTATTTGTACTTATAGAAAAAAGCAGAGAGAAGTTTCAGCAGCCTGATGGCAGCCCCTACATGCATGGCTGAAAGGAGGCAGCAAGCTGTCACCACAGCAGGCACCAGCTGGGCTGCCCGTCAGGCATTCAGAGGTAAATAGAGCAAGTACCAGATCACCTCTGCACCAGGATTTTATTTCAAACAAAATCCGAGTTAACAGAGGAATTGGAAATCACCAAAGACACTAAAAAAAACACCCAACAAAAAAAAAACAAAACCAAAAAAACCCCCAAAACCAAACCAAACTCCTTCCAGGTATTCATAGGATGCCTACGTAGTACCTATAACTACATGTAATCATGAAAAACGCACATAATAATTTTGCTGGTTGCAATATTCAGACTTCAATATTCAGCCATCTACTTGAGGAAGACAAGTAGATGCTAAACATTTTAGAACCTTGTATACACACAGCACAATTATTTCCAGCTGCAGGACTATCATTAAGCTTTACTCCTCACACTATTAAACCCTTTAGAATTATAAAAGACATTCCAAGAAAAATTTTGAAAGACAAGGCTTTCTAAAAAAACCTCAGAAGTTTAACTGTTAGTCCCTATGGAAAATAGATCCTGGTTTTCGGTTCCAATGCTACGCTGAAGATAACCATAAAGAAGGAGGAAACTGTTTATAAAGGAAGTGGCTTTGTTTCAAGCCACCAGTGCCAGTGAGTTCAGGTGTTGCTTACAAAAACACAGGAGCAAACAATCCTGATTGCTAGGAACTGTAAAATATTGCATTCCCTGAAGTGCTGAATGTTAACTTTCTTCCATTTCATCTCCTGGAACAGCTACCTTGACAGATCCCCAGCCTTTGTTGAAAGTTATTTGTCATACTGAACAGAGGCTTCTGGAAAAAAGCTATGCTGGGAGCAGAGGTGCAGAACATCACAGCCTGATGTTTTTAAGAACTCGCAGTCACACTGCTGTTTTACAAAAACAAATGATCTGCTTGTCTTTTCCTATGTATGAGTAGAAGAAGCACAGTAGAAAATTAAACATCAATACAGTATCAGTACTGAAAGCACAGGGTTCTTCCCTGACAAAAAACACAAAGTGCTTTAGTTTTCCAGTACTAGTGAAGAAAATTCAGTAGTTAATGATGCAAAACCCACCAAGAGATAAGGCTTGAGATTCCTTAATTATCATATTGTGTTTGCCTATAGCTCAGTCCTCAGATTGTGGGTCAGCTTACACTGCTGAAGGCTAAAATACAAAAGCTTTAAGGGGGAAGGTTAGAGATAGGATCTGCAAATTTTGTGGTTGAGCTGAACAAAGCAGCCAACAAAAATCCTCAAATAAAGCTGCAGCCCGGCTATACCATCCCTACGGCTCTTTCTCCAGAACCAGGGAGGGAGAGAGCTACTGGAAAAAATGACTGAGTACACCTATGCATTATGCAAAAGTTTAAGAAGGGGGTTCCTGCAGGTGCAGAGAACAACTGCCTGCACATCTGAAGAAGATCTCATCCAGCCCCGGCCATCTGACTTCTTCCAATTTGCATTATGAGTTACATTATTTCAAGAACACAAATGATGGCATTACATACTTATGATTTCCGTGAAGGCACTGAACTGGTGTTTCAACGACATCTCCCTCTCTCCAATAAAACTGTATACTCATTTGCTCACTTTGGCACAGTGATTACATCTTGTAATACTCCGAGACCACTGTATTTTTTTTGCTGTTGCCATAACAACTATGCTGTTAGGTCAGACGTAAAGCAGCCGCTGGTTTCACTGCCAGACCCTGACAAGTACAGCTCTTAACATTTTTTCCCCTTCTAAATACATTGTCTATATACCAAGATTTTTTAGTATTTTAATTTAAAGAAAGACAATTACAAATTACACCCATTTTTCTGCTTCCCAAGAATCACTGCTATCTTGAGGCAGGTAGCAGAAGTAACTCCAACATGTATTCTTCCAGTCGCTGCAGAAGCTCACATGACCTGAAGCATGCTGAAAATCTCTTACAAGTAAATATGGGTATTAGCTGCTGGCATCAGTACACTACACATGGCTTAATGAAAGGCTGGCAAATGCAGCTAAACCTAATGAAAGCTTTTACAGGATAGCAGAGCCATGCCCAACAAAAATCTAAGACGTTGTGCTCTACATTTACTCTCTTAAAAAGAAAATCATATATATTTTCAAATTAAGAGCTTGAAAATAATGATGTGGCTATGAAACCGCACCTCTAAGAATGAACTAGCCTGAGCATAACAAAGGCAAGGAAAAAGGCAGGAATTTTACCTAAACACATCTGAGTTCTGCCACTGTAGCCTTCTAGGTAGAGAGGTAACTACATTTTGCAAATGTTAGGTTCATATCTGGTGCATCACTTGACCATGATTTCAAAGGCAACCGAGGAGAGAAAAAAAATCCCTTCACAACTGAATTTTTTTTCAGTCATTCATATTTTATACTGTCCTATTAAGTGTTAAAATGTACACTGAAGAAGTAAACAAAGTGTACCATAGTATCTTGAGGAGATCACTTGTTTAATAAAAACAGTCACTTGCAATTTTCTAACACTATTACTCCTGAACCACACACAAACACACTGAGCCTTGGGGCTGCGTGGTTGAGGCTGAAAGATTGAACACAGCTTTATCGAGGAGGAAGAAGCCCTGTGGTTCCACAGAGCATTTCCCTCTCAATGTTCCCCCAAGCATTACAGAAGTGCTGAGCCAAAAGAACCCAGAAAGCAGAGCTGCTGAGAACTTCGAGCTATCCCACCAAACCGTAACTTGGTTGACAGTAAGAAGAAACTAAAACCCAAAGATTATTAACTAAGTTTCTAACTAGCTATTAAGAGGAAGTCCAGTTTGCTGCAGAAAATCTAGCTCTTTCCAGTTCACACTCCTTATCATACTCAGCTAGTCCCAATCTTTGATAATACTGACATTTATGTAAGTTGCACAATTTACAAACCATCATCACTACAAATACAGGTTGGTTTGGAAAGCAATTGAAACAATTAGAAGTATTTATTGCAAACCAGCTTCACTTCTATCTACAAGGCAGCCAGTAAAAGTAAATGCACGTGAACACAAACATTCAGGAAACACAAACTGATTTAATTAAAACTGAAAAGGAACACATACTGCAGGAATAAAAACTCCAGATACATAATTACTAATTATGAAGCTGGTGATCTTGGAAAAGCATTTGGGAATTCATGACCAAGTATTCAGCTTTGAATTCTGAGGGAAAGGGAGGGAATAACCATGACCTTCCAAGTCCTTCAGCACCACAGATAAAATTGTACTACTTGATATATTTTTCCATGAACTTTTTGTGAAATTCTGATCGCAGAGTATCATTCACGAATCTTTTGTCCTTTTTTGTTTCGTCTATCCCTTTGGCACAATTCTTGAAGACAACATCATCATCCCATCTGAAAACAAATGTTAACTTCAGTAAATTTGTATGAAAATTAGATGCAACTTACAAAAATACATAAATGAAGTTTGGCCTATTTAAACATACTAAGAACTACTAGTCATAAGGATTAGATTTTAGTCTTCAAGAAAAAAAGATCTATTTTTCTAATCCAAGCCACGCTCCTGAGTTAGAAATGAGATATCAGTAGATTAAAGGTTATTTTTTCTTTACAGAAAATAATGACCATTTGAACAGAGCAGAAAAAAACCCTTTATTCTAATGGCCCTAATTCTGATGTACACAACAGTACTTGGAATATCTGCAAAGAACTGTATTCACAAAATGGCTGTTATTTCTTAATTCTAGTTACACTAAAAAACCCCAAACCAGCTAGATTTTAAAGAGGAGCATAACATCAAATTTCTTGGGGAACTTTGGTACTGTTACTTTTAGTATCATTATGAACAATATCAGACAAACACAATTCTCAATCTCTCTCTCTCTTTTTTTAAACACATAGGAGCAAGATGATTTGTTTAGAGAGATGCACAAGACAATCACCACCTGCATCAGTATCCCAATTCTATATTACACTGCTTGTGATAAGAAGTGAGGAAGGAAATAAAAACCAATGTCAGTGATAACATTTTCAGACTCTGAGTAACGAGAGCAAGCAAGGGGATGGACATCAGTACAGACTGCACAGTACCTCCTCTTCACTTTGAAATTTGCTTGAGGCTGTGCTGGGCCAGTAAGTTTCAGCAGTGGGTTACCACTCAGAATGTTCTCCATCCGAATTCTTTCTTCTTCAGCCTTTTGCTCTTGTTCCTGAGAACCAGAAATGGATATATTACTTTTCTAGGTCACTTTTCTCATCTAGCTGGTAGAGATAAACATAATTTAACTGAGAAGATGCACATGGATAGAGATTTAATTCCTAGCTCAAACTTTTCTGGGTGTTTGACACTTGCATATGAGTACAACAAGGATAGAAGCAGAGATGCTCTAAAGAGCTTACCATTGGTAATCAACTGTCAATTTAGCAACACTCATATCTGCTCCACTTACCTCTGGTGTTCCATCAAATATTCAGTAAATTCCAGCTTTACCATTTACATATTTATTATATTAAAAACTGTATACAGATTAAAAGATTTTCTTTATCCTCATGGGAAAAGAGAGTACATTATACACTATTCATTATTTACAGCAGGCTGAAACTTCCTTATCTTCAGCAATCTGCTTGGGTTTTACAACTACAACTTCCCTAAGGACCAGTTTAAAAAGAATATTGAGAAATTTAAGGTGAAACTGAGCAGTGGATGTCATAAGACTATTTAAGAGTCCCAATCTTAAGGAGCAGAAAAATTGTCTTCTTCTTGTACTGTCAAAAGCAGGTAACTCTAGCCTACGTGAAGCACTGCACTACAGGCAACACAAAGTAGCTTCCAATGCCCACACCTCCAAGCTGTATTAATATATTTAGTGACTTAAATGTTCACAGACTTCAAAATGAATGCGTAATATTCACTTTACATCAACATATTCTTCCACAACCTTTCAAATGTATTACAAGGATTGTTCTTTGATGAAAGTACCAGAAGGAAAAAAAAATAAAATTGGATGACTAACTAGGTCTCGCGTTCCCTGTACGCTGAACTATGGTCTGAAGACATTCTAGTTAAAAAACACACTGAAGTCTCATCAGCACTGCAGGAGACTCAAACCATGTCTTTTAACAACGATATAAACTAAAGACAAAGATATCACAAGGTTGTGGTTTGTGGTTTTTTTTTTTTTCCAAACTGCAGAAAATTAATGACTGAGGACTTCTATGGGATCCCAAAAGAGGAAATGTTTTTCTTGATGACAGCGTTTGCAAGATTTAAGTGCTAAGCTTGAACACTGATGCTAGCCAGAGTCCTCTAGCTTCAAACATTTAATCAATACTAAGTGAATTATTACTAAAACTATCTACATTTTACAATGTTTTCCACTTGGACTGATCAAGTATGTGAAATATTCCTATAAAACACCTCAGCGCTCTTAAGAACAATACTAACTTAACATACGTACAAATACCAGATGATGCAGGATCACTGGTAAAGATTTTACCTTTCAAAAATCTACTCAAGTTTTAGTTATGAAAAAGCACCTACCATTACACTGCTTCTCACAAACAGAATTTAGAACCAGCTGTAATTAATTGCCAGTGGGATGGGAAAAGCTCCCCAAAAGGGCATATTGCTTAGAAGCATGGCACAGCTTCAGGAGAAGCCCTGTAATGCCCTTATTAAAACATACGCAAAGGCAAAACTTGCCCTTGCTGCTGTATCCAAGGAGCTTTAACACAAACTGCAGCAGTTAGAAGTTATTAACACAAATCAAGTTTCACATTTTCAAACACAGCTCTAAATCCAACATTTACATTCCAACTTTAGTTATCAACATCCCAGTAAATAAGAAAAATACAAATTCAAATTACAGATTTCTTTCCTCTGTGGATTACAGACAAGGAATGTATGCAGCTGCTTCTTCACAGTATGCCAACCTCTGACTTACCATCTTCTTTCCTCATAACATGGAGGAGCCAACAGCAGTGAAATCCAATTTACTGCAGTCTGTGTCACATGTTCCCACCAAAAGCCGACCAGTCTTTGGACTACTGTACAGGACATGCACGCAAAACACTTCTAAGAAACTAAGCAAAAACTAGAACACTGGTACAAGCAAAAGAAAATCAGTACTGATTCTCAGGTACCTCCCGAGAGGTGATCAGATTCTGTTTAAGCCCATAAAGCAAATTTACAACAGGATGCAAGCATGTGAAGTGTTCTCTGTGTTGCCCACACAGCCCAATAAGGTGGGCTTTGCCTCATTAAATTTAATCTCTGATGCTCCATTAAAAGTGAAACTTTGAAAAAACAGGAGGTCTGGGACAAATCTTAAAACTAAGAATGCTACAAAACAAAAATTCATACTGGACTATACTCAAGAGAAGACAGCGTTAATAAGAGTATTGTAAGAAACTAATATTCCCCTGTTGAAAAATGCTTCTACAGAGAGAGCTTCTTCCAAGTTGTATATATGCAAACAGACACAGACATTTTAAAGCTGAACTCCAGGAGAACTCTTCTCAAGTTGACACGCAGAGCATGGCAGTCTCACCCTCAAATTTCTAAGACATTAACCTCAGTCAGGACCCAAAGTTACTGAACCTGTGCATCGTGCACCACTTTATCTGCTGGTATAACTATCTTATGACGTTTTTTTATGAAGCTTGGAAAAGCATCCACACTCCACTGACAAATACAGAACTACAGTGGACTGCACAACAGTGCTTCTTCGATGGTCAAAAGTCCACTGGAGTCAGTCAGCACCTTTTGGGGGGAATTACAGTTGTTCTTCCCTCCCTTCCTCCATTTCAGATTTAATCTCAACAGTTCCTACAAAGCTGATGGTTCCAGCATCATCCACCATGCACGAAGAGAAATGAAAAGCACTCAGTCAGTCATTTGAATGGTAAACATACTGAATCACTAGAGGAAGATAAAGTCAATATTAAAAATCATAAAAAAATACGCATACAGTACTCCAGTGTTCTTATTACACACAGATGTACATTTAATTTTTCTACAGTAAGATTTTAAAAAGGCATGTTAGGCATCATCCTAACTTCTATCTGCTTTACATAACCCACATAATATCCTCCAGCCTCAATTAGCCTGACATAGTTTGCTTTCTCATTACTAAAAAAGCATTATCAGACTGAAGTAATAAAATGTGCTGCTAAAAAAAAGAAACAAAATTGAAACAACACTTTCAAGAAGCGTCAGACTACAAGAAGTAGTATAAGACTAAGAGTAGGATTTAGCTCCAGATTAAGACACCTACATCTAGACGTCTGCTTGTAGGCACCTGAGCTCGCCTCTCAGCAGAGATCTAGTGAATACAGTAAGGAGTCAAGATGGCTCTTCTGCTCCCACTAAACTTCACACACAGGAGACCAACCATGCTCCAGGCTCTACTGACTGCATCTCCGCTGCACCACCATGGAAGCTGGGACACGTAACATCAAGCCCAACAACTTGGCATTTCAAGTACAACTGAATTCTGTCTAAAACTGCTAAGTGCTAGGAAAAAACTACATTGATTGAAGTCAACTGCAATTCCAGAGGACTGGTGGGTAGCAAAAATTACACTATAATTAAAAGAAATGTTAGGGACAATCTTGGAAATTTAAAATTATTACCTTTTACTTTTGCACCTATTAAGTTATTAAAAACAATAAGAACACAACACTAACAGAAACTGCCAAACAATTTTTATGTTGACAATAGTAATATAAAACATCTATGAATCTTATTTTCAAAGGTTAATTTTCCCTATTCACAATAAGAGATGCTGCAGAGCCCCTGGGCACTTTGTGTGACCCTCTGCTGCTTCTCAGCTCTGCTCAGAATCAGAACTCTGCTGGCTTTTAGACCTGCAGAGAGAGCACAACTGGAAGCAGTAACGAGCTGCATAACCTTATCTTTGTCATAGAGATTAGAGTCTGAATACAAACAGGGGACCAATCTGTTAAAGCATCACCAGATTTAGTTGCTTTACAAAGACAGCCCGGCATGCATGGTAATTTATTTATGGAATTCAGTCCTTCAAAGCTGTTCAAGGTTGTGTGACTTTTCGCTATAAGTTTTAAGAACCAGGCTAATTCTAAGATTGGTCTTGAAGATTTTTTGTATTATTTAGCTTCACTAAAACCTCCCAAATAATTTTTTCAAGATTAAAAAAAATAAGGTAATTTACTAAGTTTTGTATCTTAGAGACATGACACGGAGGAAACACTAGGTGTAACTCACAGTGGTACAAAGCTGACATTTACACTTAAGCTAAGTTACAGATTTTGGCCAGAGCTGCAGAATTCCACATCTCCAGCCAAAAGAGGTTTTCATTATGTTTCAGAATTTTCCACATAAATCTTCCACTGCCCACTCTTCCACTGAAAGCTGGGATGCTCCAGGCGATGGAGCATGGGTTGTATCAAATCAAACAGACCAGACACAACTTTCATAGCTGTCTGAGCTTCACACCTCTGAGGCACGATCAAGCACAGCTGTTCACAAAATAAGTGGCTGGGGTTGCTCCAAAACCTACATTGTTCTTTTGTGTGGCAGAACAAAGGCTTATTAAGCTAAAACACTATGGATACAACAAACCCACAACAGAAGAAAAGCCTAAGGGAGAGAATAATATATCTCTATTCACTCCACCCTTTCTAAAATAAGGCCTCTTTGTCTGCCTTTCCATTTCAGCAGGACAAGGTATACAACTCTTTTCCTAAGCCATTTTAGAAAAAAAAGACGTTACAGATTATTCCATCACTGCAGACAGCAGCGCTGTGCTTTTCAATGGCAGCATGTTGCACCAACTATCTACAGAGATGAATCAGACATCAACCATGTTATAACCACCACATTAGAGGCAGAGGCAACAGAACAGGAATATTACGGTGTGGGGAATAAGACTGGACTGGCAGAGGGGATCCCATACCCCAAGGAAGCAGATGGAGATGCTGCAATGCAAATCACATCTCACAGTAAGCCTTCACTGCACAACTGAACTCACCACGCGGAATCACAGCTGTGGAAAAAAAAAAAAAAGCGGACAAAACTATATTAACCTTAACTAAACAATTACTCCTTATCTTGCTGTAAGAATAACAGTCCCTTGGCATATTTGTTTCTGACCGCAAAGGAAAGCAAAACATTATTGTTACCATGGTTATTTTTTTTTTTTAGTATAGTTCCTACCTTTAGCACAGAGCAAGATTACTTTTACAGAAAGTGCTGAAATTCCTGAAATTACTCCCTTGTACTAAAGTAAGTTACCCTGCTCAGTTTTTATAGATGTTGAGTAACTGAAAGAAAATCTGAAATATCCACATTTCATTGAAGGCTGGGGAAAAAAAAGTAAAAACAACAACAACAAAAAAATCACTTAACCTTATTTTAATGCTAATTTTTGAATGACAAACTATGACAGCACTGCCTTTAGCAGCAGGGAAGGAAACTTAGTAACGTGGAGATCCACCTATGCAAATTACTAAAACAGTGAAATACAGCGATTCAAACAACTAACTCGAACTTCAAAAGAGTAATCACAACTGCAGTGTCTACATGCAGATTTATTGCCATTTTGCCCACAAGGGAGGGGACATTATCTGTAGTCCTTGGCAAGGATCAGTATCGCTAGCGTGTCTCAAACATTTAATGAAGGAACACACTCTGTCATCTGCTTTTGCTTCTTTACTGAAATTCTTTCTTAATCACAGATTTTATATTTTAGTTTTAGAGAGACCCTTAACATTTAAGTGAAAACGTTAATATCTATCAAGATTAATTTTCTAATGTTTTATTTGAAAATCTGTGACATGGTTAAAACACAGGGCAGCGCTAAGATCTATTCTGACCACTGGTAAAGCAATGTATCTAGTTCTAGAGAAACACTTTGTCAAATAAAACTGTAAGAAAACAAACCAAAAACTTTAAGCCTGGTCTTATATACGCCTAAAATGAGTGGATATTAGAATAGCTTTGCTGGAACTGCACATTTACATTCAGCTGCTCACTGGTTTGAGGTTTGTTTTTAATTATTTCCATTTACCTTTTAAGGAAGTGCGTGAAAATTAAAAATCAAGAGCCTCATAATGCTGAGTTTGGAATACTGAAACATGTTTCCATAAAACCTACCCATGGACAGTTCACACAGACAGCAGACCTAGTGTTCGTACAGTTTTAGACAGACCCAGAATTATTCCACAGAAATGGCTTTCAAAATGAAAATTTCCTGGTCAGCTTAGTGTCTACTAGAAACAACATGAGAGATTAAAATCGTAGAGGACATGAGAAAAGTCAGGAATCATCCCATGCTCAATCAGTTTTTAAAAACATTTGTAGTACTTATTTAATGTTTCTACAGAATTCAAGGGAATGTAAGCATTTTCAGAAGTTAACAAGCTTTGACAAGAATTGCTTATTAGGTTGACAAACTATTTGCTTCACACATTAAAGGGAAATATCAACGTGATGGAAGTTAGAACCTCTTAATATTAACACTTGTCAAAATTAGATTTAGAGTGTGATTTCTATGGAAATTGGTATTACCACGTAAGGAAGTTAACAGAGAGCATGACGATCTGAAGAAAAGCAGATTCTTAGCCTTTATTTTTAACTGCTGTCTCACTAGAGATGCCTTTTAAAAGGAGAAGTCCTCTTTTCATGGCAACTTAAATACTGGACACCAAAGCGATGAGTGAAAACAGTTAACAAAAATACAGTTTACTTTAAATGGAGTCTCAGAAATAATTGGGCTAGCACTTTAATAAATCAAAATAACTAAAGTATCAGGAAAACATTTGCCTATGACACAAACTTGGGCTCTATTACTGTATTTTACCCACTTCCATCTTGTTAAAACCCTGGCACGTTCCAAGAAGATGCAAAGACACATTGATTTGTCTGTATAAGAACAAAGAGATTTTAGAACGATGCACAGAAGAGTGAACAGGCATTCACTCTGCAGTTTCCCTTTGCCTTGACACTGGTTTACGTGTAATGTCTACTACGGCCAGCACTGTTTCTGCAGAACCCACCCCTGTATGTGGATTAGGACCAATGGCAACTACACAATTAAGGCTTTACATGAGACGTTATCCTGAAGTCAGCTGGATGACTAACATAAGGTTACTTACAAAATTAGGTTTAAATTACGGTTTGCAATACATAATAATATGAAATCTCACATACCTGAAGGGAAAAGAGACATATAAAATGGCTATAAAATGCTTTGCCAGTAACACCTTACTTCAAAGCCATGGAAAACAAGCATAATTTAAACAGACTGCAGCCCTAAAGCCAACATACATGAGTGATCTTTCCTAAGGAGACCTTTACTCCTAGAGGCTCTTTCTGAGGCTGCACCCTACTTTGACTTTTACTTTTTCTACCAACGCAGTCTTAGTTTCCTACTCTCAAAAAACCCCAAGAAAATAAAATTCCAAAAACCTGTAGAGCACCCACTATTTCCTGAAGATGTCAATTTTTAAGAGAGCCTATCTGCCACCAGCCCGTGAAAGGATGAACAGAGTAGGTGGTGACTGTGCAATAGTGTGCACTATTGCAAATAAATAACTAATTTTTAGGAAGAAACAAATGTATTCATTTCAGACAAACATGCATGTATTCAGTACACACATGGCACTGGACATTATAAAACCTGCTTCTGGGGGAAGGAGAGTATCCCTGAAGGCAAAAAATACTACCAGTTAGAAGAGTGGTAAAATAAAACAAATGCTACACTAAATACTTCATACCTTTTAGCACCCTCTAGTGACAAAATAAGAATTTAATAGAGTATTCCTGCTTTCTACACATGAACAGAGAAGCATGCACTTCATTGTCTGTGCTGCAATTTACTACCCTTATTTTCCTAATGCAAGTTTTCTACACTGAAATGTGACAAGTTATACTGCTTAATCTAGATGTGTAATTTCATTTATCAGGCAAAGTGAAAAATCCACACAGGTCTAAGCTTTCACTTTAAGGACTGTGCAAGGACAGCTGAAGTAGAAGTCTTTCCTACACACTGCTACCCTTAATTTGTAGGTGAGTGTATTTCACACAAGAATACACGGAATAATTGTTGCCAGTGTTTTTAAGTAATTTTCACCATGTTATTACTGCAGAACACAATTTCATTGCTACATGATGGGCTGCGACTGCCTAGAAAGAGATGAGAGACACTTTCAGACACATTTTAATGTAAAAGACCACTGACAGGCCAGATGGAGAATCAAGTATCAACAGTCTTTACAGCAAAATTTCTGCACTGAAGCAGCACAGTACAGCTTTTAGTCTTCCAACTACTCAACTGCAAAATTGCAGAGCTCACTGGTTTTACAGGCCTTATTGTTTCTAAAGGTAAATTTCTATATTGTTAGCCAAGAGTAGCAAGCACTACATTGCTGTCTACAGCAGTTACAACATTATTCTCTCCTAGGTGTTCCTAGGGTCTGTTAGATCCTACTCACTGTTGTTCACTGCTGGTTGACTGTACTGGAGAGCATTCATGAAAAGTATAAGCATGTGTGTTAAGCTACAGGAAAGGCTATTATTAGTTGAGAGGCACAAAAACATTAAGCTGTCACAGCAGCCTTTGATTAGCCCCCTGATCAGCACTTGGCATGTTTATTTAGCATGTTCTAAAAACCATCTCACATTACCTTAAACAAAGATGACAGGTGGCTTGGTTTTGGGAGATTTCTGGATGGGCTTTTTGGTTGTTTGAGTTTTTTCTTTTGTTTTTTTTACACTAATGGAGAATCTACTTACAAAAACATACAAAACTACTCAAACTGAAGCATGCACCATTTTTCAAAAGCACTAAAATGATTTAAGCCCTGTTCAAAAACCAGAAAGTGCTTAATAAAAGCAGAAGAGGGAATGCTGCACATATCCGCCACTTCTGTTGCACCACCAGCAGCAGAGCGTTTCAGCAGTACAGATGAAACAGCTGGACTCTAAACTCTGCTGCAATGCAATGTTAGAGCCAGTACAGTTCATCCTAAATCCTGATCAGTTTGACAACACAGACTACTCCCAGAAACAGTCCCTAGAAGACCATTTATCAATCAGGGATTTTGCTAATGCACTCCATCCCAACAAACTTTCTTACACTAAGGAGGTATGGAAGCCAAAGGCATAGGATTTGATTCTGCTCATGGGAAAACAATCTCTAACTACAGAGACTTCCCCCGCCTTTCAAGGGCAGAACATGATACTTCTGTATGGAGAGAGATTATAGGGAGGTATGAAGGTTACATGTGAGGTGACTTTCCAAGTTCTGAAAAGACTGCCATCTTATTACTCATTTTTGTGGCGACATTTTTCAAATAAACTCGCCTGTGTATAACCAACATGAAAATAATTCTGTCTTACAGTTACAACTGGTGCTCCTTGCCAAGGCAACACAGAACCAATGCTGTGAAAGCGCAACTACGGTATAAAATTTGAAGCCATATGAAAGCATCAAAAAGCACTATTATTTTAACTTCATAAAAATAATTATATTTCTTGTTTCATAAAAAGCTAGTTAACAAATGAATTTACACTGGATAGTATGTAGCTCACTAATACCACTATATATAGCTGTCTTCAGAGGAGGACTTGGGTATGAAAAGCACGATTATCTTGACTCACTGCCTCTACAAAGTGTTGGGAAAGTGAATAAAATATTTTTGCAAGTAAAATGTTCAGTATGTCTACTAAAGAAAAAAGTTTTTGACAACAATTACTAGATAGAATAAAAAAATCCACCATATCTGAGAAGAGCTTTGAGGGGCACTTACTTTACCAGTTCTCACTCATCCTAGGTACTTAAGGCATACCAGTTTCAATAAACACCAGTTTGCAAAAAACAGATGCCTTTTAATGGGTGAAATTTTACCTTCCGAGCCTGTTCTTCAGCTCGTTCTTTCTTGATTTTTTCCAGTTCAGCCAGAAGAGCTGCAGTGTCATCATCATCACTGTCTTCCAAGTCCTCATCTTCATCATCTTCCTAATAGCAACAAATGGGAACAAGAAGCAGCTCGTTCATTTCATTTAATAAAAACAGCCCTGGTCTGCCCAGATAAAAATCCAATTTGCTGATGGTTGTTTTCTGAAGCACTTGGGTGTTTGTAGCAGCAGCAAATACAATACAAATGGTTTATTTGCTCTTGTACAGTGAAGTCAAGACAAAAATATGTTTGTGATTTTTGGATGACTGCAATTAATCTTTTATAATTGAAATGCTATGCAGCTGACAGATGATAGAGGATGGCTGTCCTCAATCACTTGCTAATCATTGCAACACAAGCCATTGTAGTGTGTCCAAATACCCCGTCCAATATTGTTGGGACCAAATATAACAGGATTTAAAAAACCTGAGCTTATTGTCAAGCCTTAGACCTAACTCCTAGATGTCAGCATGAGGAGAGGAGCCAAAAGCAAGAATCCATAGCTCATGCAGACAGTCAGTATATCTCAATAGTTCTGCCTTTGGGGAATTCTACCTAACCCAGTAGTTGACCAAGTCTAAAAAGTCACCTATTTCCCATACTTTAGGAGGTCTTTTCAGTTCACTATTTTTTGTGCGCTTTCCAAGAATATCATTACAGCATGGACCAGAATCCACTGAAACACTCTGGACTTCCACCACAGTAGAGTAACTGTAAAAGGAAGATATGTTGGAAGCTTGCTTAAATCTTTAGCAGACCTAAAAGTACATATTCTATTAACAGCAAATCCTGAAGGCAGGACAGGACAATGAAAGAAAAGAAGACAGAAAAAAAGATACATACATCAGTAAGAGGATCATCTGCATCAAGATTTGCTGCAGGAATCTGGTCTAGCCGAGGCTTCTTCGACACAGAAGATGATGTTGTGTGTTCTGTGACACAAGATTTAAAAAAAAAAAAAAAGTGACTAACTTCACTTAACAGATCTAACATCAGAAAGCAAAAACCTTCACAAGCAATTTATCTTGCATTAGAGTAAGAGATACAAGCTTATGCTTACTTTGTCCTAACTTCTCAATCTTAATGCCCATGCTAATTCCTCTCCTGGAGGTATTCTCAAGGGAAGCAATAACATCCCCAAATTCACCTTTTGGCCTCCAGAAGTTTTTTTAAGTAATTATTTCAAGAAGAAAGAACAGCAAAAGAAAAAGTTGTAGAGAAATATCCTTATTCTATACATCCAATAAATGTCCTTATTCTATATATCCAACTGAAGGGTTCCCCTTGAGGACCACCCCAAAGCACTGCTGTGGGCTAGTTTGCTCCAAACCACATCTGCTTTCACCTCTGAATTTGAAAATCCCACACCACCTTCACACCTAAATGTAAAGTACTTAAATTCTGTCAAGGTTAATACTAAAAATTACTATTTCTCAAAAACCCCTTTGATTTTCATTTTAATTATCACTTCACTGTATCTGGACAGATTCACATACTTTAAAAACAGATTTATTGTTACACTGGTGCTATAACACTAGAAGATGAGTCATTCCCCTCCTCCTTCCTGTCTCACTTGTCCAAGTACAAAGAAAAGCCCTTTATGAGCTGTACATACTTGTTGCCAATTCATTACAATCACACTGTATCAGCTGGCCTGCATGATGGCCTGTGCTCTTCTACTGGCTGGCCTAGATTCTGCCAGCACGAAGCCAGCATGAAAGCCAGTGGACATTCCCTTGCAGGTCAACAGCTCTAAACTATCAGACCAACACTCTAAATTTCACTCTTATGACATGCTGTCTGCAATCTGCAAGTGTCTTGCAACACTGAGTTTTGTGCACAAGCAATGTCACACAAAGGTATTATGACTTTTTGTTTCTTTGTTTTCACCTCTGGTTGGCCTGTCTCTATTCTTTTCTCTTGCAGCAACCCGTTCTCTCTCCTCCAGCTCCCTTCTGAAATCACGGTTACGCACCTCTTCAGGGGCATCCTGAGTGGCCTGTCTAAAAAACAAGAGGTGGGAAAAAAAGCTGAAGTTGACAGGCTGCAGCTGGGAGCAATTTTTTGAAGGAGGTCAGTAAATCCTGGAGTGAACAGTTAAGCGTAAAGAACAAGAACTGGGTACCAGGTAGACATATGTTTCTTTATTCTCTCTTTATCAGCCCCCTTCTCTGTATGCATTACACACACAGACATGCACTGCCGCACACACATGCTCCTCCCAGTGGCTCTCAAATGAATTAAAAGACGCTACATAAATTCCTACAAAACCAGAATGACCACGTCTTCCTCTTGTAGCTACGTCTAAATCTTCTGTCCTCCAGCAGTCCAAGCCCAGTGTCCCAGCAGACACCCACCACTGTTACGGTCAACTTTCCTTACCGTTTTATCATCCCAAGTTGCTGCTTCAAACACTGTCTCTATGGCTTACAGATAAGATGAAGACTAGCAGATAATCTTCATAAACCTTTTCCCCCTCCAAGAGACATACAAGACAGTTTCCCACAATCATAAAAAGAAGTCTGGAGAGCAGGCAAAACAGTAGCTTTCATGAAACATACTGCAAATACATGTTTTTCCCTCTTTTATACGACACATGCTGGCCAAAAGCAACAGACTATTTGAGTCATGCTAAGTTCCACCTAGACAGCATTGGATTTCTGTGAAAATCTTGAAAAGAACTAATGAATAAAAACAAACAGCAATTCCTTTCACCTTTCTGTGAACCCAGTGCTGGAAGTTAAGATTGCCTGAAGAAACCCAGACTTGAGCCACTATAAATACATTGTGTGTACAGCCTGTCTTCATGATGAAGTATTTTGTTTGCTTTTGTAATTAAAAACCTGAACTTGGAATCCCTGATACAGCTGCAAAATCTCCCCAAACCCTGTGTCATTCAACTGAACATGAGTGGGCCTGAAACACCAAGCTTTTCCTGCAATGATGCAGTCCTGGCGATTTAAGAAAGACAACTTCATATTAGGTATTCAGGAGAAAGAAAAGAAGACACTTAATGTCGCCTCCATCTCTCTCTCACGCACACAAAGAGAGTTGTTAAAACATACGTTGTATATTCCTGCACATATTTGTCCCCACACACTTATTTCAAAGCAACAGACTGCTGTTCCAAGCACCACTTTTGTTTGAAGAAACAAACCACCAGCAATTTTCCCATAACAACAAAATGCAATGATTTTGGTATTCTCCAAAACACAACAACTCCCTCGTCCATACATATTCTTCAAAACCAAATGGGCAGGAGGGAAGAAGTGAAAGGGTAAACACCTGAACAAAAAAAGTGCACACGTAAAACCTCAACAGTAGTTTCACTGACAAGAGTAACATCAGCTAGATCAAAAAAACATTTTTAAGCTGATACATTTCATTTAAATTCTAGACATCTGTATTATATTTCAGGATAATGAGGATTTATTATGCATTTCAAACAAAGAAAAATATTCATAAGATCATCTTTCACACCAATTAAAGCTATTTCCTCCCCCAGGACCTGCATGAACCACTTGCAGTCTTTAACAACAGCTCTTCCAACAGGTACTACTACCCAAGCGCTATTCTGTGATTTCCCTGCCTCTTCTTAATGCCCCTTCCCCAGTGGTCCTTTACCAAATATATGATGTGGTTTTCCTGCTTTTAAGACATGCTCAACTTCTCTCCTCTCATCCCACTCTGCTCTGCAAATGACAGCACCCTCCATGGCTCAGTCAGCTCCCACTGTTCCTGTTGATTTTCTTTCCACTCCACTGTCTGAAATCCTTGGTGTTCAAATCTCGCCTTCTTTTGATGACTCACTTCCATAAGCAGTGATAAATACCACCAAAATTAAACCTCTGCAATTGCTTGCGATGCATTCAGTCTCCTAGGTCTGCTTTTAAGACTTAAACTTTCAGCCCCCTCACTCAGCACTGCTGCACAATTTCTAGTGTCTGCTCAGCGACAAGCACATGAACATCTACTGTGAAAAATTTCAGAGTACTGCTCATAACAAAATATCACACCCAGCCTGTTTTGCTGTAAGACCAAAACCCCAATACTAACCTGTATTTGATTTTAGTATGAGAAGGAAGGTCTCTGCTGGAATATTGTTTGGATAGCTGACTTAAGTCTCCTTCACCTTTTCCTCTTCCTCCTCTTGCAGGTTCAAATGTTGGCCTTGCTGCTGTTGTCATTTTAATTACTACTGAATGAAAGGGAAAAACAGTCAGTACTACAACTTACAGTGGAAAACATTAACCAGAAGCTACTTTGTTCCTGGAATTGCAGTGGCAATGACAAGTCCCACTACACAATACCATTTAAGGAGCTTTTTATTGACAAAACTGACAGAATCTATTCAGATTTTCAAGACAGACTTTTCCAACGTTTGAAAGATGATACACAGGCTCTAACAAGATAATGAAGCAAAGCAATGCTTATAAACTAAATAAAACTGGCCAGGAGCCAGACTCCTATCCTTAAGACAAGTGGTACAGTATTGCAACTGAACTCTTGCCCCTCCTGAAAAATGACAGACAAAAATAACTGCCTACTGGGAATGGCCCCCTCTATTACTCCCCAAACTGTATCTAGGTATCATAATCAGAAACACTAGCTGACACAGACCACAGCATGCCTAGGATGTGTTGATTATTAAATACTGATGAAGTTCACGTACCCTGAATGCTCCAGCTCTCATCCTGGCCCTGTTCAAGTCCTCCGATACAGGCACAGCACTGCCATTAATACTGCAGCACAGTCTTTTGGGACCGACCTGTGCAGAGCTCCAGCTGGCCATCAAAACCTTCTGAAGGGCTAGGGTTAACGTTTCTCTGCCAGCACAAGGCTGACAGCTTTACCCTCATGTAAACAAAATGCAATTAATAAATCTCAGACAAATGAAGAGGTTTTCACCAGCTCTCATTTAGAAACTGCAGGAACTCACATACCACCAGCACATCTGAAAAAATGAACTAGCTGATGCCCAAAATTACTACTAACAGTTCTTCTGAGGCAAAGGAGTGACACAGACTCAGACCAGCCTCAGCCACCGAGACACCCTGTCAGCATGCAGCACGTTCAGTTCTGCCAGACAGGAGCTGGAGACCCTGCAATCCTAAACCACTGTGCCAAGAGTTTAAGATGGTTAACCAAAAAAACACGCATGAACAATCAGCACCATCTGAAATCTATTATCCGAAACTGCTTCACCAAGACATGCATATCTATTAACCACAAACTAAAGATATACAAGACACAAGAGAGATACATCTGCAGAGACACATAAAGGCATCAGTCGTATCAACCAGAAGGCTCGATGTTAAAGGATGACAAGAGAACATATTAAAGAATATTAAAAAGCAAAGAAAAAATATTGCTTCATTTGTTTTTGTGATATACAAATAAGGTATTTATGCTCTGCTTGCATTATTTGTTATTTTTCCACTTTTAAAGAAATCACAAAACACATTACTCCTATGTTAAAATTACAAAACTGATGCTTTGTTCTGCCATGAGGCACAACACAGTTACTGCCACTGAACTCAGAAAACAGAGTTAACAGAGAAACACCTCTAAAAAGAAGTGAGACAGTAACTAGCCTTGGCTCCTTCACCAATGATTGTTGACACTTTTCAGAGACACTGCAAGTCAGCTGCAGCTCAGCAAGACATTTAGCTCTTAGCACAGACTCTGCCAGATCCATGATCCAAGACAGCCACTTGCTCTCAGAGCTTATCAGTGCTAATTAAATGTAATGGCGGGGGGACAGATGAATTCAGGTGAAGAAGCAGACCCAGTGTAACTATATAGTTTCATGAAGCATTACCAAATCCTCTGGAAACTGTCCCTGCTTCCCTCTGAAGTCAGTCTGTAGTTGTCTTGGCCTTAAAGGACCCCAACTCAATCTGAAACCACTCAGGGACCGTCACACTGGCCTCTTAGATTTCAGAAATACAGCCTTGGAGAAGTCACTTCAGTGCTACAGGAAAACAGGACTGGTCACACATGGGTTATTAGCCAAGAGCAAGTGTCCGGGCTCGGCCTCCAGCTGAGCTGCCTC